GATCAGACTTTCTTCTTCAACAGCACAACATGAAAGACTGAGTCATTTGAATAGTTTAAGTTGGAAGGGACCTTTAAAGGTCATCTAGTCCAACTCACACCTGCAAGGAGCAGGGTCATCTTCAACTAGCTCAAGTTCCTCAGAGCTCCATCCAACTTGATCACTTCTGAAATGGACCAAAGGAAAAGACCAATATTTGCAAAAATTTTCCTGAGAATTGTGTTTCTTTAAATATCCTGATCCCTTATAAAATATTATGTAGTGAAACAGCAAACAATGTGTACATGTCAGCAAACCTGCTCCAGTATGCGTTCCTCTCTCCACAGGTTCAAAGAACCTGCGCCAGCTTCACTGCAGACTTCCCACAGGGTCGCAGCCTCCTTCAGAAACATCCATCTGCTCTGGTGTGGGGTCCTCCACGGGCCACAGGTAGGCATATCTGCTCCACCATGGACCTCCATGGGCTGCAGGAGAACAGCCTGCCTCACCACAGTCTTCACTACAGGCTGTAGGGGAATCTCTGCTCTGCCACCTAGTCCACAAAGGAAGTGAAAGATTTCTTAGTCACAGTGAAGAAAAGCCTCATCTGAGGCAGTCACCAGGAAAGGAGGATATTTCTTGGTTCTTGTCTATTCTAATCTCCCCGAGGAGTCAAATGCTGCAGAAATCTCAGAATGCAAGTTGTCTTGGCTGTCATTTTTCATTGCTGGTTGGCAGGATTTGCATTCATGTTAAGCAAGCAAAGTCTCTTCCTTTTCTCTCAGAGAAAAGCCTGTGATTCAGGTTTGCTATTGTGAAGTAGGTAAAGATGTAATGTGAACAGGAGCAGAGGATTGTGATAATTCATATCAGCTGACAGCCTGGCTCTAACTTTGTCTACCTGAGAAGATCCAATTTCAGGTAGTTTCTAGGCTGATCTTTTGCAGAATATACCTTTACAGAGCCCATCATATTTGACCAGTAGATTTCAAGAACAGATATTCAAATACACAGATTGAAGTGCTTAGTCTAGGGTTTCCCATTTGATACTGTCTCTAAAGAAAACTACAAATATATCCGTAATGTATCATTCCAAACCCATCAATGAAGCTCAGGTTCCTCCTTTTGCCCTAACCGAAAAGAATGTTCTTGGTTGCATACCATTCACCCACTCAGACCGGAGTTGATCATTAATCAGAGAAACTGCAGCATGCCAAGATGTAGCAAGTGAAGGGAAAAAAGAATAAGTGAACAGAGTGGTAGATCTGCTTAGATCTGCCGTACTCTAACACCAGTGTGAAACAGCATGGTTAAAGGGAAGGCATGGTCTGCATTCACACTGCAGCTTTCTTCTCATCAACAGCACTTCTACTCACAGGCCACTGGAAACCTGAGTGGCTGAGCTTGTGAAGCTCTTGGTGTCTGCCACAAAGCAAATTTTGAGAGGATTTTAGATAGGGGCTGGATTCTGGAGCAGTACAGAGGTTCCTGGAATAGACCTCCCTAGTGCTGGAAAAAACATCATATGTGTGAGTCTCCAATGAGTGAATCCAGCTTTGTGGAATAGCTCTTGCCACCAAAATGAACAGGAAAGAATAGATACATTTATCTTTCAAGACTGTAACTTGCAAAACCCTTTAACATGTTAACCCATTTGTTTATTACTCCTTCACTCACGAAATGACATTCCCTTATGAACTGCCACTTTGTCTTTTACACTGACACGATAAAACACGATTATTTGGGATACCAGAACTTAACATCCTTTGAGTTCCTGGCCCTGAGTCCAGATGGTTATTATCCAAGAGTTACTCAGGTCTGACCATGAACTTGCTTGACTCAAAGCATGGAATAGCAATTATGTCTTTAATTGACATTCATTTTCCAGTAATTATAATGGAGCCTGAATATTTCTTTCAATTGAATAAAAAACGCAAAGAAAATCCTGTCTCACTGTCATCTGATATATTCATCTGCTGCTTTTCCAAACTGGTATGTGGTGTCATGAAGGGAGGAATGATCCTTACATAGTTACGAAACTGACACAGCATATGTGTTGCTGCAACCAAAATACTCTAACTGCTGCCATTCTAAAAATAGAAGAAAGATGGGGGAAAGAGAATTTTTTTTTTAATAGGAAACATGAGATTTCCTTCTTATATTATTGTGAATCATAGTGAAAAGCCAAAACATTCCTTAAATATCAGAGGTAAAAGGTAGATAACTTATTTGGCAGTACAAGGTCCTACACCTGGGTCCCAGCAATCCCAGGCACACCTCCAGGGTGGGTGGAGAAGTGATTGAGAGCAACCCTGAGGAGAAGGACTTGGGGGTGATGATTGATGAAAAACTCAACACGACCCAGCGATGTGCACTGGCAGCCTAGAAAGTCAGTGGAATCCTGGGCTGCATCAAAAGGAGCGTGGCCAGCAGGTCAAGGGAGAGGATTCTACCCCTCTACTCAGCTCTTGTGAGACCCCACCTGGAGTACTGCGAACAGTTCTGGTGTCTCCAACATAAGTAGGACATGGAATTGTTGGAAGAAGGCAAGAGGAGGGCCACAAAGTTGAGCCACAAAGGAGCACCTCCCCTATGAAGACAGGCTGAGAAAGTTGGGGCTGTTCAGTCTGGAAAAGAGATGGTTGCGTGGAGACTCATGGAAACCTTCCAGTATCTGAAGGGGCCTACAGGGAAGCCAGAGAGGGACCCTCTGTCAGGAACTGTAATGATAGGACAAGGAGTAATGGGTACAAATTGAAAGAGAGGAAATTTAGGTTACATATTGAGAAAAAATTCTGTGCTGTGAGGGTGGTGAGACGTTGAACAGGTTACCCAGGGAGATTGTGAATGCCCTAACCTTGGCAGTATTCAAGGCCAGGTTGGATAAGGCCTTGAGGAACCTGGTCTAGTGGGAGGTGTCCCTGCCCATAGCCGGGGGATGTTGGGACTAGAGGATCTTTAAGGTCCCTTCCAACACTTACCATTTTATAAATAGTAAATTAAGTAAGTAAATATATCAATATAAAATTATTGGTATAAAAAGTATTATTTTCAAAGAGTAGTAATATTAATGGAAATAAAAATATAGAGAAAATAAATAGACTTAACCCATACTTTCCTGCAGAAAATTTTTCTTCATAGAAATGGAAGTGATTGAGTAACATGCTTGACTTTTTTAGCTGAGAACTGGAGTTTAGAATGAAACATCAAATATTATTATCAAATGCTTTTTAGCACTTTCCCTCTTTCCATTCACAATGTTTTTCTTTTCTTCTTTTTGGTGTGCTGGAAAAATTTTCCACATTATTTGGAGTACTTTACTGGAAGGAGACTATGCATACAGACATCTCACATGGCTCTCTACGGCTGAACTGTGACCTGCTACCTCAGCCCTTGTACCTGTAAACTGCAGCTGCATCTCGGAATTTTTTCTACGACTTGTGGATTTTTCCTTCAAGGTAAAGTACACAGATTTAAATAATATTATTACTCTGCTGATTAAGACATTATGAATTACATAATGAATGCCTGGCAAAGTGATCACAAAAGGCAAAACAACTAGAAAATTATTTTCTTCTTCTCTCTCGTATGTTAGTAAGAAATTAAAAGAGAACAATTAATATCTTCTGCTCAGCTAGGCAAGGAAATAACTGGCCTTCTGTTAGAAGGTAAACAGAACTTTGGCAGAGTGGTTACAGCACGTAGAACTGACATTTTGGTAATTATTTGATAACAGCACGTCCTTAGAGTTTGTCTTATTTTGTCCCATCTGCTGTTTGTCAGCTGTAATGTCAAACAAGGCCAATTCGAACATAACATGTCTCTCTGATCTACAGTTCTTGTGCTTGCCGTGTAATATAGGAATGCAAAAGCCTTCACTGACCTTTCTTATCCCCTGATTCTGCCATCTGCTACATTTAAATAGTGCAGCATAGCAGTTCTGCTCCTTGGTGAGTGACGAAAGCTCCTCAGATGTTTTCTTCTGTTCACCACTCTGTTTACGGAGCAGAATACTGTTCCTTGCCTCTGTGATCCAATGTACCAAGAAGCTTTAGCTTGTGTATAAATATGAGCTACCCCAGCTCAGCAGTGCACGCCACAGTTGGCTAACAATTAGCTTGCTCAGGAAGGACAGATTGTCAAAAAGGCAGACTGATAAATAGCCAATGAAATCATCTCTGTCTTGTATATTGGGCAGGGTTCCAGCTGCTTGAAAAAATGCAGTATGCATGTGGATTTGGCTGATAACTTGAACTGAAATAATTAGCTTCTAAAATGAAAACCACACTGTCTTTTGTATTATTTGAGTGTAAATTATTAGAGGAAATAAAATTGTGTGAAAACATGATCTTGCTATATATATGTGATATATTTACATTGCAGATTTAAAATTCTGAATATTTTCTTAAGTTTTTATAAACCCCATATTATTTTCATGGAAAAATTCCACAAAATCATAGAAAGTCATCTTATTCCAAGCTATATTCTGAATGCAAACATGAACTTTTATAATACTTTATCTCTAAGTCAATATAAGAGAAAAATATCGAGTACATTAAAGTGCATTAAACAAAATCAAACAGTAAATACTATGTAAGACAAGGACTGATCTTGTGATTGTGACAGACACCTTTGACCCCTAACTATACCTTTTTTCAGACTGACTAAGGAGCAACAGGCCTCATGCCTCTAATGAATGTTAAGCTCCTGGCTCACATATAAAGGAGTGGAAAGTGCTTCAGAAATATATGTCCAGAGGTGGTTTCGAAACCCAAAAATACAAGATAATTAAAGTACAGAATAAGGTAGTACAGCTAAAATGAAGACATCTATCTTGTCTGTACTACTGAGTAGCAGCCAACTACTTCACTCTATAAATATTACCACCAGGATGGGGTGAATTTGAGCTCTCCCTGAGCTGCAGCTGGGCTGCACGCCAGGTGCCTCTCCCCTTCAGCAGGGATGCCTGAAGAGGTTTGAAATTCCCTACCTGAGACTAGAAGATCCTTCATTACCTAAGGTGGAGAGATCCCTACTTGCGACAGATCCTTGGTAAGTGATTGAAATAGTGCTGATAATATGTTCATATTATTATTGTAGTAATTTGAAATAATGCTAATAGTAATTAAATATTACTAATCCACAAAGCCATTAAATATTAATATAAACATTGTATAGATAATTCCACTGGGCATAAATGACCGGCCAAGTCTAACATTATGATTGGACCTAGCCATGCCTAGAATCCATAAGGAGTTTAGAAAGTAAGGTGGCCCCACTCTGAACCTCGTCACTTACTCTCGGGTCTCTGTGTGAATCATTCTAACTCTTCCTAATAGATGTTCCACTGTGGTACTGTATGCTTCCTGTTCCTTCAGCTCAACAGAGATAAAAATGCTGTAGATGACTAGTACCAACAAGCAGCCTGTGCCTTGAACTGCTCAGTAAATGGTGGTATATGTTCTCACCTCATTTAGGCAATGTGCAGCTCTTACAGTATGCCATGAACCTTCAAAGGAAAAATATTAACATTTGGAAATATAGGTTTTTAAAATTATGTCAAATCTCTAAAATCCTCTCAACATAATAATGACCTGGTTATCACAGATGTTATTCATCTCTCCCACTAAACTCTGAGGAAGCTGTGGGTGCTTCTCCTCAGAAGACCTCTGACAAGCAACTTAGTGTTGTCCAAGGTACATCAGCCATCTAAGATAGCCAGATATCTACTGAGGTGGCTAATAACCAGATTTACTACTGAGAAGTGTTTCTCAACGTGATTCTAGCTTTTCTTGTTTTGTCCTAAGTCAGGTTTCAATAAATAATATTTTTTTTCTTTTGGGCTTATTTTAATATCAGTTATTCATAATGTAGATAGCTGTCACAAGGGCAGAACTACCTTTATCACAGAGGCAGGGAGAAATACAATAGAAAATATGAGTGACTATTTGCTGCAACTACGGAAGAAACTTAAGTATTCAGTCCATACATCCTTGTAGGAAGTAAACTATGAACTAGATAAAAGGCGACTTAGTTTACATGATGTCAAGAGATTAAAATAACATAGAGTGATTCTTCTAATAGTAACAAATAAATTAGATTTACAAAAATTTTGTGTAACAAGTCACTCAGTGGCTCTCTGGGTAAAGACGTGCTTTTAATTGGAATGATGTTGCAAAGGAAATTAAGAATAAACTCAATTCTGAGGAACACTGTGAGGATACAATCCAGTATTCTAATTATTTATCGTCATCTTCATAGATTTGAATTAGCTTTTTTCTCTGTTAGAACTAATTTTTCTGGGAATACATTTTACTTTTTCTGGGGTGAGATGTTTAGACAAACCAACAAACAAACTAAAAGCACAGAATACTGCAAATATTAATTGCATTATAAATCATTAAACTTTTGTCTTTTGGTATTGGGCCATGACTGGATGATTAAGGGAAAGAAGATGACGGAAGGTTTGGATATTTATCTAATAAATTGTAACAGTTTAGCCCAATGTCTGTGTTAGTTTGATCTTTATCCATACAGTATGATATGAGTTGGTGTCCTCCAAATGTATTGCTGTAGGCAATACCATAGTATGTGTAACCCTTCTTAATTTATACAGGAGGAGATTTAATCTTCTGATAATTGTGTTTGCGTTCTGGCTTTACTTTGGAAAACATAAGTAGTTCACAAAACAGCCATGCATGTTATCAATAATCATTGTCTCATGCAAGCTTTTTGGTAGCTGAAAAGGTGTATTTCTATTTGTTCCTTTGTTTCTTATATTTATTAAGCACTAGCAATTTAGAGACCACATACTGGGCCAAAGGATTTAATACCAAATGTAGTTCTTACACTACTTAATTCTTATTAATATCAAAGGGAATTTCTTATTGAGAAAACTGCCCTAAAAAGAGTTATTTTAACAAATATTAAAAAGTTCTACAGAATTCAGCGGGTGCTTTATTCTATTATAGGATAACTTCCTCTGTTCCTTGATACAAAATTATCTCAAGAAAAATGCAACCAAACAACATAAGCAGAACTTATCATCAAATAGAGCCATAATAGGCTGGAGCACTGATTTACAGAAAAACAAAGTCACTTTACTCCTGTGACCTTATGAATTTTCACAAGTTACTGGTTAGGAAGATGCAAGCCTCTCCTCATGCATAGCCTTAGAGGTCAGGATAAGGAAAGCTCACAACTCACAAGTATGGTTACATATTTTGAACTCATTGTTTACCTTGCATACTGTATTTGATAGAAACTGTTCTTCTGGCAGAGGTGCTTGACTAAAGCTGACCCAGATCAGGTACTGATTGACATTTCGTTTTTCTAGACAAAGGTTACCTGTAAGCCTCTGGAGAACCACGGATTGTGGCTGTAAACCAATGGGACTGTGTCGAATACCATCACCAGGAGCCTCAGACAGCTGGAGAAGAATGTTGACAGCTGGAGAAGAATGTCAACAGCCTCAGACTGGCTGCTGAATCAAAGGTGAAAAGAGATTGAATGATGTCTGATATATATGATCCAAATCACAGAATCACAGAATATGCTGAGCTGGAAGGCATCCACAAGGATGATCGAGTCCAGCTCTTCACCCTGCACAGGCCCATCCCCAAGAGTCACACCATGTGCCTGAGAGCATTGTCCAAACACTTCTTGAACTCTGTTGGGTTTGGTGCTGTGACCACTACCCAGGAGAGCCTGTTTCAGTGCCCAACCACCATCTGGATGAAGAACCTTTTTCTAATATCCAACCTAAACCTCCACTGACACAACTTCAGGACATTCCCTCAGGTCCTGTCAATGAGACAGGATGTAATTAAGTGTTTCTGTTCTCTGCTGGTGGTCATTATTTGGGTATGGTGTTCGTTCAGAAAGAAAATCTCAGGGCAAATAGTCAAACCTGTCGCAGCTGGCAAGAGCAAATGTACACATCCAAACTGGAAAGAAATTTGAGAAGTAGTCCCTGGTTCAACACCGGCAAGTATGTTTGGAAGGATTGTCTGCCACAAAAAAACCCAAAGGACTGCAAACATGCGAAGGTCTTGGCATGATACAAGGCTGTAAATATCGGTCTGGAGATGTACTTTGTTTACGGCTTAACAGGATAAAACTTAGCAGATATTTTTTCCTATTTCCTTTCATTCCACTGTTCAAATTATTTTTGTCTTTTATAGTTTTGGTAACAGAAAAAAAGGAACGAGATATTGCTAGAAGTTTTTGGGTGCAGGCTGAATTGACTCAGTTGGAAGGATGAAGGACACAGAAAACAGATTTATAAGAGGTGCTTCCATAGTGAAGTTACTTACTTCAGAAAAATAGTCCAGTAGAAAACACATGATTATGGGTCAGAGGTTCTTAATTCTACTTTTGGCTCTGTCAATTACCTGCTATATGACTTTGAGTCAAATGATTTCTTCATTTTTCTCTTTCTAAACACTCCATCTCCTTCTGCTGAGATTTTACACTCTATTTAGGCTTTCTCTTGAAAGCTTTCTTTGCAATGGTGGCCTAAAATGGACTCTCCTCTCAGTACTAGTCCAAAAAATTCACTAGAAATAAAAATGTCTGAAACATGGGAGAGGAGTGTACTGGTTTTAACTCTTTTTCCTACATGGCAGATTCTTAATTAATTTTCTCCCCTAGCTGAAAGTACAGTGTGTTTCTTCACCTTGTTACTTTAGAATTTTCAAAACAGTTAAGGCACTAAATGGTGAAATAAATTCTGTACAATATCACACCCTGTTTTCCCCCACTCCCGTGTTCCCCAGATCAGTGAGCAATATGTAAAAGCACAAAAAGACAACAGGCTCATATAAGAATCCACAGCATAGCATTCTAGAGGGGTTTTATTGGTATGTTGCCTTAAAGGCATTTAGCCAACAAAATACCCTATACAAACCATTCAAGTAATTCAGCAGTTACAATGCTTTCACTCCTACTTCTAACATTGCTAGAAATTAATAAATTGAGTCTTTTGACAGAAAGAAACTAATTTATTCCTGTGAAAGCACACTCTTATGAAGTATCCAACTGTCTCATACAATGGAAGGCTAAAACTGTGCATTTAACTTTGCAAAATGTCTAAGGATTTTACAAGGCCTGGATGACCAACTTGAAACATCCTTTTGCCCAAGTCCTGAACACTACAACCTGCTCTCGGGCTTTTGGGAGCTTAGACATGCTGTATCTGATCACACTGTTATCTCTAGCTGTTTTTACATCATGGTTCATCTTCCATATACATTTTGGCTAAATGCATTACTTCTCTAAGATCTTGTTTTAGCCACATCCAACACAGAAATAGTGTTCTTTAGATGTTTTGCAAGTCCATTTGCTTTTAGCTTACCTATAATTTCCAGAATTGTGTGGAGAGAAGTGAGAATCAGCTACCATCCAGTGGCTGCCTGTGATCACAATCACTCTTCTCTGTTGGAGAAGTGCTCTGCCATTAGAAAGTAAAGGTAGGTAGCTAGAGTAGAAGTTTACAACTAGTTAGTGTAGCCGGTACTCATTTGTATACCCTGGAGAAAGCAAATTAATAACAAAGTGAGGAGCTGTTCCCTGGCAATACCTGATATCTTGTACTTCCTATAAGGTTCAGGGTCCCCAGAAAGAGAAACACTACTTACTGTATACTACAGTATTTTTCTTTATGTTTAATAAGATGAAAATGTTACAACCAATTAAAACCTCTTAATAGCCCTAATAGTCCTCTCTGAAAAGACTAGAAAATATATTACTCACTGCCTGTACAATTGGCCTGTTGGAAGCTGCTCTTTTTGTGTGGCCATTGCTAATTTGATCTGCCAATTCTGAACAAATACCATTGCCAAACGGTATTCATTCAGCATCATATAGCTTGCTATTGGCAATGGCCAGTCACTGCTGCTAGGTAATATTCATCCATTTTCTGTACTTGCTTTGTTCCAACATTCCATGTTTTCCTCATGTTATGTAATTTTGCAGGAAGTAGCTGTAAAGTGATATATTTGATGATGAACTCAATTTTTCAAAGAAAATACTCTCACAGACAATAGTACACCTGGCGACTCTGAAGTCTTAGAGAGAAGAGATCAAGCCAGAGATCAAATCACAATGATGTAATGAGCTACTGCTCATTATCCAAATAATTGGATTCGTGATAAATGATTGTGTGCAGACATATAGTCTGACAAACAAAATTTATTACATGAATCTACTTTGAAGGTAGGTTGTTACACTACAGTCACACTTCTGATTGAATTGATTTACTACTGGTGTCATTTTCCCATCCACCTTCTGCCCAGTAAACTAATCAGGAATTTTTACTAGATGTGTAATGGTAGGACTGAAAGGAGAGAACTTGGAATGACAGCTTATCTGAGAACAATATTGGGGTTTATGTAAGGATGAATTTAGGAATTTACAAGCTACTTTCCCTCTGCTGGGAAAAAAACAAACAAACCCAAACCAAAACCAACCAAACAAAACCCCAAACAAAAAACCAACCAAACAAAATCCCCAAACAAACAAAAACCACACACAAAAACCCCAAACCCAAACAAACGGAAAACCCACCAACAAGACAAAGTTTTATATTATTCAGTTGCTAGCAGTCAGGACACTTACCTAGGGCTTGGTTACTCAGATTACAGTTCTAACTTTACCTGACCTAGAGGTGACAAACTCTCAGGTCTGCAGAATCACACCATCTGTCTCTCTAGTGACCTCAGCAACTCATCCGTTAGGGGAGAGATTTTGACCTTAAAACCGTATTAGCCATAACATGTACTGTGTATAAGACTGTGAGATTAGTAACTAGGACACAAAGACCTAAAATCAAGTCTTTGCTATCTTCAAGTTCACGCAAACATTTCAGGACTTATAACTGACCTTTACTATAGCTCAGTAACATCCTGGCAGATAGATGATTGTTTAGATCTAGGATGACCTGCTTTTTCTGTGTATTTTACAGGCACGTGCTAAGCCAGAGAACATGGCTGATGCAAGCTCTAAAATTCTCTGTCTCCAGCCATCCTGCTCTCCAGTTTCTGTCCATAGTGATTGGACAGAAAGAAGAACAGAATAGGCAGCCTAATGTGGACACCACAAGCAATCATTAGTACTTTGTACTCAGCACAGGCAAGGATTGTCTTCTTCAGGCTGAGTCAAACATCAAATGCAGGCATATCCTAAGACATCTGCATTTTAGATGATTATTATAACTGCCAAGTAATTAATTGGATCGATCTCTCTTTAAATTCAACTAAGAATTCCATATCTGATGTGAAAAATATTTGCCAACTAACATTTTATTGGCAACAACACATTTCTGGGGGAAAAATGCAGTTTGGCAAGTAATATTTTTCCAAAACTATATAGTTTACTCTAAAAACTCTCAAATGGTTCTAGCAAGTGCCTGAGTTTTCCTCTAAGTTTTTGTTATTTATCACTCTCAGTATTTTCAAGCATAAATGTACAAGATATATGTCAGTGTACCTCCAATTTTCTGATAGCTGAAGCCCATACTTGTTCTGTAGCTTAAATACATTGTTCATAAGACAAAATATACCAAATAACTGGATCTCAAAAGTAGTCAGGCAACTAAGAATATTTCAATATTATCAGGCACATAACAGGTTAAGTTTGTTCTGAGAATACTCTATTTCTGGCCTGTGATTCATCAGTTGGCATTTGAAGAGGGGATTTAAAAAAAACCTGAGGTGACATCATCTCATCTTCCTCCTATAACCATGTGTTTGTTTTTTTTCTTATTTGATTTTTTAATCCAACTTTTTGCTAGTATCTTACCACAACTAAATGAATGGGAAAGCTCTTTTCCTTAGCTTGGCAACTGTTTTTCCGTAAGATGGTGTTTTCTGGTGCTTGTAGGAACAGCAACTGAAGGAAAATTAAATAAAGCTAAGTGTATTCAAACCTCAAACAAATACACGTTTTAAAATACACATTAAAACCAACAAACATTACACATGAAGAGTATGTATGTAAAACCATCTCATCATACACAGAGAGTTTAGTCCTTCCTTCGTGCCTCAGAATTTTTCATCTTTCTACTTGATTTCTTTTTCATTTGGATTTGTAAGAAGAGTTTGTAAGCCTCTTTCAAAGGGGAATCTGGATGTAAGAAAGCTCCTTTGCAGAAGACTGCAGCGCCTCCTGAGGAATTTAGCCTGAGCGTTTAGGGCAGCTCAGGTGCCACATTAGTGCCATAGAGCTGACTGTCTTGGGGAGGCAGCATGCTCCCGCTGCTTCCCAGCCCCAGCCTCGCTTGCTCACGAACAGGTCAGATTTCTCTGTATGTGGGTGTGTCCAGAAGCCTTGGCCAAAGAAAGAGCCTGCGTGAGGCAATGCTATTATTAGATACCAGCATCCTTCAGGTGCACACACACACAATTTTTTATTAAATATGGAAGCAACACTTTGTCTGCTGCCTGTAGAGACGTTTCCTCTTTTAGTAGCCTTCTCATATTAACACGACTGACTTTGTTTGTTGTTTGTCTTCTCATTTGGCAGTGGTAAAGCATTGTCTGTGCCTGAAACACTAAT